ACCACAAAAAAAAAAAAAAAAAAGCCAACATGGCTTCTATGGAGAGGAAACCTGCGGGTGAAAAGAGATTTTAAAATAAGGAAAGAAGGAAGGGAAAGACAGATGAATGGATGGAGCAGGGAGGAAAGGATAAAGGAAGGGAAGGAATCAAGCAAAATTAATGACAGCACTAAGACAGGGGCGAGAAACCTGGGGCACACAGGTACAGCGGACGGTTTGTACCACTGAAAGCTCTAAAAAGTTCACCATCACTGCACTAGGATCACAAATTATGAAGAAAAGCAAGGAAGTGATTAATTACCATAAAAGAAGCAAGAACCATTGTTAACTTCTGGGGACCACTGATGTCACTGAGGTAGCTAAAATCAGAGGTAAGAAGTAGAGGTCTATTTCTTATTGATAATGATCGCATTTGTTGTACATAGCTTTCTATTTCATATTTTAAAATGTTAAAGGCTTGTAAAAAGTGACTTCTCTTACAACACTTTAGTTAGTTCTCCTTACCCTCACCTCCGCAGCAAAGAACCCCCTAAAAACACAGGCTAGGAATGTATTTGGCATTTCCTCCACCCAGGTAGGAGTGATTGGCAGGGTGCCAAAGAACTGCTTTCTTACTTTTAAGGACATGAGGAGGAAGTTTCTACCTCTGGGGCCAACTTCATAGCCCCTCTCTGCTCACAGCAATCTCAGTGGAAAAAAGTTCAGTCCATGCAAAGCTTGTCCTTGTGTGACAAAGTTTGCCCTGCAGTGACAGCTAGGGGTGGATGGCTTCTTGCTGCTTCATCAGCCCCCATATAGCTCGTACGTCGTGCCCTGGATCATGTATGTGCATGTAGCCACCATCCCATCCCTGGGGCGGCTCCTTTTCAGTGCACGATGTTATATATGGCCATACGCCGTGATACTCCCTCTTACAAGGATCTTCCCAACACGTTTAATTAGGCCAGGCGTTTCCCAAGACCAGCCCGAGTCATGTGATCTCATTACTGCATACCACCTTGTATCTGAGCACCTGGGATCTGGAGCCAGCTGGCAAGGGGACCCTGGGGCCCTCGGTCTCTGATAGTGAAAACAAAGAGAAGGAGCCCACAGCCGAATGTGGAGTGCAAGGAGTTTGGGGGCGTGGTCATATTCCTTGAAGTCCAGTTTTTGAAGACAGAGAGCAGGAAGAAGAGCCTCAGCCATTTGTTCAAGATCCCCTTTCCTTAACTGCACTCAGAGGATTAATCCTGACGCCACTTGCCAAGACTCTCTCTCCGCCATCTGTAAGGATAGGGCTCACATACCTATCACAGCGCTCTCCGGTGACAGCTGATTTGCACACACAGTGGCCAGAGTTGCAGGGCCCAGCCATGCCAGCCGGGTCACAGTCACACTTGATGTCTCTGGGAAAGAAGCAAAAGAAAATTAGGAGTGGATTTCCAAATGCTTCGCAACATTACACGCAGACTGACTGCTCATAAGCAAATGTCACCAAGCTGAACAAGGCCCTCTTCATGTGGCTTCTCCTAGTGACACTCAGTCACAATGATCTCCCACACCCTTTGGGATTCAACTGCTTATGCCAGTGCCACTCACAGAGTGGTCCATGGGTAGCAGCCAGTCCAAGAGCTGTTTGCTGCCCAGCCCCAACAAGAGGTCTGAGCCAGAAGGTAAAATAAGCTCATTATTAAATTGTTTAGCTCAATTTGGCCACCTGTTTGGATGATTTTTTAAAAGACTTATTTGTTTCTATATTGATGTCTACTTTTATTATAACTGATCCCATCTACCTGCTATTTTAGTTTAGGGTTTTTTGTTTTGTTTTGTTTTTTTGGTTCTTTGTTTAGTTTTTTTCCTCTCATTGAGTTTACTGGTACATTTTAGGTATACAGTACAGTTCCATTCGTCATTGGGATCTTGCACCTTTACATGACAGACCTTGGTTCTCTTTTTCCCGTACCCCTGCCCTCTCTTCACCCCCTCCTCCCTTCCCTATAGTTCTTTTAGTGACAGCTCTACTGAAATATAATTTTTAATGCTATGGAATTCACTCATGTAAAGCAAACACGTCAATGGTTTTTAGTCAGTTTGAGTTATACAACTATCACTACAAATAATCATTTTTGCACACTTTTGTCTTGTGTTCTTTCTTTGGTTTGGTTTTTTATTTTTGTTTTTGTTTTTTGTTTTTTGTTCTTTTTGGTTTCGGGGATCAAACTCCGGACCTTGATTTTACAAAGCAGGCGGCAGAACCACTGAGCTAAATTCCTGGCCCAGTCTTTCGTAGTCACCCTCTGCCGCATTTCCTCCCTCCAGCCTCACTCCCAGCCCTAGGCAGCCACTAATCTACTTTCTGTCGTAAGTTTTCCTATCCTGGACATTGCCTACAAATAAAATCTTCTCATCTGTGATCTGTTGGGATTGGCTTCTTCCATTTAGCATAGTACTTTCAAGGTTCATCTCTGCCGTGCTGTGTCCCCACGTGTATTCTGAGGGTTGAATAAAATTCCACTGTACAAATATGCATATTTTATTTTCCCATTCATCAGCTGATAAACATTCCGGTTGCTTTCACTTTCTAGCTATTGTGAACAGTGCTTCCATGAGCATTTGCATATAAGTTGTGTAAACACATACATGTTCATTTCTCTTGGATATGTACCGATAAACGGAACAGCTGGGTTCGAGTGGCTTCTATTTTGTTTTACTAGCAAGACTCTCAGTGGAGGCATCAGTTCTTTCATGTGACTCTGGCACAATTTTCCTGTCTCGTGATCAGCACTGACCTCTATCACTCATTATGGCCACAGCCATATAACGATCTCATGTGTCTAAAACTAAGATCAATTTCCTTTTCCTTACTGATTTTCTTTCCTTACTCTTTGATTCCATCCAAATTCTGCCCAGCCCTGGAGCCTCCTTGACCCCTTCCTCTCCTACACATCCCCCATCTAATCAGATCCTAGGTTCCTTCAGTCTCATAGTCCGGGCCAGAATTCCTTTCCGTGGTCTCCTCTTTGTCTCTGCTCCTTCCATACCACGTATCCAAATCATTCAACAAAGATGTATTGAGCAGCTCCTTTGGGCTAAGGACCAAGGATACTGTTGGTGTAGTTCCATACATGACTCTGTGTGCACTCTCTGTGGCCTTGTATGCACTTTGATTTTGTAACTTGTAATCTTTTGCTTACAACGAGGGACTTTCTGTATAGCACTTTGGTAGTAATCGAACTTTGGATACATTTTTGTATGGTACATGTGATATATATATAGAATTAGTACTTTATTTTTTATTTTTAAGAGGTAAAGGCTGGGGATTTAGCTCAGCGGAGCCGCCACCTGCGTCACAAGCACAAGGTCCTGAGTTCAATCCCCGGTACCAAAAAAAAGAAGTAGTAGTAAAGCATTATATTAGGAGGTAAAGATAGAGTGAGTTTCCAAATTTGCGTTTTTAGTATAAAAATAAAGTCAATATTTTGGGAAAAAATAAAGGATACTGAAAGAAACAGAACTCTGCCCCTTCCCTTGGGTCTCAGGCAGGGCAAATATGTGAATAGCAACGGCAAAGTGCTGCGTGGCTTTGTGCCAGGAAGTGAGTTCCAGGTGGGCAAAAGCCACACATGGTTGGCTTTCCTGAAGGACAGGTAGGCTGCTGTGGTCGGAGCAGGGAGCCCAGACAGAGGTGAGAAACAGAGCAGAGCCTCGGCTTCGCTGAGAAGGTAGGAGCACCCTGCAGGGTCCCACAGGCCTTCATAAGAAGTTCCCAACTTACTCCAGGTAGGAAGGGGTGGTTGTGAAGGGACGAGTTGTGGTCCACTCTGCATTTTAAATGGTTACAAATGAGAGTTCCTGAGGATATAGCTTAAGGGTATAGCACTTGCCTAGCACATCCAAGATCTAGGGTTCAATCTCAGCATCAAAAAAAAAAAAAAAAGGTGCAAAAAATGAGAGTTGGGCTGGGGGTTTAGCTCAGTGGCACTGCATCTGCCTTGCAAGTGCAAGGTCCTAAGTTTGATCCCCAGTACCCCAAAAAATGAGGGTTAGGCCCAAGGGAAGTTCTCTGAAGATTATCTAAAAGGCACAGATAGGGCTACAAAAAGAACAATCTATGCAATGGCCCAAGGATAAGCGAACTTGAGATAAGAATACGAGACTAGGAGAGTGCAAGTCTGGCCTTTTCTCCCTGGGTCTACCAAATATTGTGACCATGTGGTATTACAAGGGAGGAAAAAAATGTTACCTTTTTTCCTTCCCATGAATTCACGTCGAAAGTCACCCAGTTTTAGAGAACACCATTCAAAGGGGAGGGAATTAACATTTCCTTTTGTTTCAAAATGTAGGCAGGGCTAGTCAGAGGTACATAAGGTTCTTATTTTTTAAATGACTAAAGTGATAATCCCATCCCTTAGGTTTAGTGTGAGGATTACATTAGATGAGCCATATAAAGTACTGAAAACAGTGTTGGGCGCACGACAGGTGCTTCGTATAGGAGGGGGAGTGCCAGTGTTAATACATCGTCGTTACTCCTGTTAGTGCCAGCGGTGGCGGGATCTGGATACTCACAGTCTTTCGTCTCGGGTGCATCCAGCATCAATGAGCATGTAGAAGCCCGGGAGACATCGGTCACACTTGTCTCCTGTCACACCTGGCTTACACCTGCACCGTCCAGAGTTGTCACATTGAGGATTGAGAGAACCTAAAACCCATGAGGAGAGAGAGAGAGATAGAGAGAGAGAGATGAGAGAGAGAGAGAGAGAGAGAGAGAGAGAGAGAGAGAGAGAGAGAGAGAGAGAGAGAAATACTTACAAGGCCCGGGGAAGCAATGCCTCCCTATGGGAGCTCAATACACACCGAGCAATATATACCACCACTGCCTTTAACAGTTTGTTCACATCATCTGAGTATGCTTCTACCCAGTAGGGAAAATTCTGACAGCTGAGCATGTCTGCTTCATGGAAAGAAATGAAATCATTCATAAAAGCATTTTTATTTACACAGGTGCTCTGATCTATTTTGGGGGGGTCAGGACTGGGGATTGAGCTCAGAGCGTCTTTTATTTTACTTCATTTTTAAATCGTGTGTAAGGGTCTTGCTAAGTCACTAAGCTGCCTAGGCTGGGTTTGAATTTGTGATCTTTTCACCTCGGCCTCCCAGAGTGCAGGGATCATAGGTGTGTGCCACCCCGCCCAGCTCCATTTAACATTATAAAAGAAGTCCATCAAATCTTGTGATCTCAAGAAAGAGAAAATCTGTAAATGAGCACATCCATCTCCTGGGACAGCAATATTCTCCTTTATCTCTGGCGGACAAAGCCCATCTATTTGGGGTCAGTGCTTGCATGGTATGATGTTGTGACAGCACAGAAGGCCTCCTGACCAAACATGTTTCCACGTGCCAGGGATGGCAGGAAGTCTCACCCAAGGAGCAGCCCCCAGCTGCCTGGTTAGTGCCCTGGAGTACTCGGCTCTCCGTTCCATTTGCCATACATGTTCTTTATCCTCTCAGATTGAATGCTGATGACAAATGAGAAGGACGCAGGGTACTATAATGCGCCACTGTGGGATCGCACCACTTCTCACTTCTTGCCTTTCTGCCCCCCGAGTCCAAGTCCGCCTTCTGCCACCTGTACCCTGTCTGAACTCTTCCCCTACCCCCTCCTTTTTGGCCTTTTCATGCTCCAGTTTCCACACAGAAATGAGAGAGCCCTTTCCAAAAGTAATTCAGGTCATTTTGCTTAGGTCCTCTGCTGGCTCCCACTGTAAGCACAGTTAAGCGCAGACTCCATAGCCTGGCTGCATAATCGACCTCTCCTAGCGCATCTCCTACCTTCACTAAATTCCAGGCCCCAGCTCCCTTCCTGCTCCTGGAAGGTGCTAAACTGCTTCCCTAAGGGCATCTGCACTTGCTGCTCCTTCAATCTGTTGAACTCTCTTCCCAAATTGTCCCTAGTTAACCCATTTGCAGCACACAGACTAGATGTCACACTAGATTAGATGTCACTTTCTAGAGATACCTTCCCTGACTGACATGTCTAAGATATCTGTTCCACTCCTTGCTCAGTTCTCGGCCATCTCTGCTCATATTACCTGCTGGATGCCAGGGCCCAGCACAGTGCTTGACAAAAAAGAAACACCCAGAAATCAGCTGGATTTGTATGGATTTGCCAAGGAAGAGGTGGGGCTCTTGTAAAGGAAGCTAAAAGATGAGCTAGAAGGTAGGTAAATGAGGTGGAAGGCTAGCTAGGTACACCTTGCCTACTTTATAATTTCCCTGAAGCTGGCAGAATTGTAAGTAATCCACATCCCTCAAGTATCTATGATAATTAGGCCAGTCATAATATATAAAGCCAAGGGAACACTGACCAGTCATTACATTTGTTTTTTCGATTTATTGTTTTTCTGTCAACTTTTAATTCACTAGCAAAGAGAATCAATAAAGGCATTGGCTCTATGTCTATTTAAAGGCTTTTATGTAGCATGCGAAACATAAAATAAATTAGTCACATTCACCATTAGAGTGTATAAATATCTCCATGTCAACTTTATGAGGCTTGAAAAGACCGTCAGTGATAATGGTGTAAGTTACACTTTTTGAGCACCTACTATGTGTAACAGGTTGAGTTAAGCACTGCTGGTGCATGCTATCTAGTAATAAATTAAAAGTTCGTGGCTGGTTGGGCTGAGAATGTAGCTCACTGGAAAAGTACTTGCCTAGCATGTACAAGGGCTTAGGTTCATTCCTCAGCACTGAAATAAAAGTTCACACTGGATAACAGATCCATTTCAGAATAGGGAGCTCTCTGAGTTGTGGGCAGGAAGTTCAGAAAGAGAACTCTAGGGCAGTAAGTGAGGGCATGGCCAGCATGCAGCATCCCATACCACGATGCCCTGGATTCATGGAGGCTGGGGGAGAACAGGAGGGAGTTGCTGTGAGAGGCATTGTGCATGCAGAGCATAGAATTAGGACACTCTTGGGTTATGGATGATGAAGGAGAGAAGATCAGTTGGTGACACCCAGGTTCCTAGGGTGCACAACTAGCTGTGATTCTATGGCAAAGGAGGGGCAGAAGCTCAAGATAAATCATTGACAAAAGGCAATGTGTTTAGTTGCCTCGTGGCGTATCCAGGTGGAAATGTTCATCTAGAGGACAATAAAGAGGCCAGGGCGGAGAAGGAGGAACCCTCGGCATCCAGACTAACAGGAAGTTACAATGAGTGAGAGATCACTCCAGGAGTGGGCGGAGAGCAGAGTGGGAACGGACCTCAGGAAAGGGAGGGGGTGATCAGAGAGGAAGAAGTCTCAGGACAGAGTCCAGCTGAGATGGGAAGGAAGAGAGAGTTGGGTTTGCGCTTGAAGACAGCCGTACTCTATAAATGGTCAGCAAACAGGGCTAAGAAGGAAAATTCCTTTTTGAGTACTCTGAAAGAAGTATAAAATTTGGATTTAGGCACACATTTTCCATTAAATTAATGGTAATTATGCTTTCATTTTTTTTTAAAAAAAAAAACCTCTCTGAAATAGTTTTCAGAGCTGAATTGCCCTTATAAAATGGGAAAGACTGAACCTTGTTCTGGGTTTGTACCAAATAACCCAAAATGGTATTCTACAAAACATTCTTCTGAGAAGTATTAACTGTCATCCCATGAAAATAAGTACTCTGTGTTCAAAGGAGTTTGAGAAATGGTACATACTAAATCTTTCAGAAATTTATCACATAATAATACATTCAGTAGACAAAAAGCTTATTTAACTTTTTAATGCCAGTGTTTCTAAACATTATGTGACATCGTAAGGCAATACCTAATGCTATCTTGAGGGACACAATGTTCTAGAGTATATGAAAATGCTTTGGAAAAGTATAAAACCTTAGATCTTAGGAAATAGTAGGCACAAACATTGTCATGGCTTATCTACCTTGGGAATAAAAGGACAGCATTCTTTATTTTTCATTTTTATTTGCACTCCAAGCCCACCACTCTGTTCTATGTGATCATCTTTGATGTCAGCAGACCTTGCCTCCAACCCTTGCTCTGTCCCTGAGCTCTACAATCTTGGACAGATTTCTTTCTCTCCCTCTATAAGCCTCTCCTCATTTGTAAAATGGAAAAAAATAAATTATTTGTCCTGGTTAATTAACAACTGGATGAAAAGCACCTGGAAAAGGGTCTGCACATAATGTACCAGCTGACACATGGGCTCTAAATCAGCATTGATTGGCCCCACTACTTCCTGTCAGGCTGTTCATCCTGAATCTTGGATGCCTAATCTCCGTAGAAAAAGGAAGATCCAAGATGGGCGTGGTGGCACACACCTGTAATCCCAGCACTCGGGAGGGTGAGGCAGGAGGATCACTGTGTCAAGACCAGCCTGGGCTACATAATGAGTTCCAGGTCAGTCTCAACTATGTAGTGAGACCCTGTCTCAAAAGACCAAAAAAAGAAAAAAGAAAAAGAAAAAGGAAGATCCAGGCTCCTCTTCTTTTCCAAGTGAGGAGGAGACTATAGCACCCTGGGAAACAGGAGACCACAAATCCTTCTCCACCCTCTAGTTTTTGCTAGGTAGCAGGTTCCTTGTCTCCTCTGGAATTATAGCCTTATCTTTAGGTTGAGCTTTCCCATGGAGCCAACCAAGTCTCTAATTACATGGTCCCAGGAGGGATCCAACTCGTGATTCGCAGTGACACTGCATATTCTAAGGGGATCTGGGCTTCTTGGAGAGGTTAAATGCCCGTTAAAATGGATTAACTTTTCTTTTAATTTTCATCATGAAATTCTTTGTTAAGGAGAACTGGTAAATCCAAAAGATCCTGGATGCAGATTTCATACCACAAAATTAAGCAGATCTGACCCCAAACACATTGTAACAGCAATCCAATTAACTTGGCACTGACTCCTGAGATGCAGGTCTGTGGATAGAGATATATCACTACAAATTACTCCAGCTTCCTATAAGGATCCTGCCACACCCTACAAACTCATTTCAGCTGCACCAAAATCTACCTGTGTTTCGAGTCTTTCAGCTACAACTACTAATTGCCTCCATAGAGCCAAGCGGAGTTCTGCTGGGTAAGGGTACACCCGTTAAATGGATTAGTATTGATCACATTATGCTGCTAAACACTTTCCGGCAAAGAGGAAAGTAGATAATGCCAAAAAAGATAAAAGACAAAGCAGGAAGGCAGTCAAAAAACTCTTACAGAACAACCCTCCTCTCCATTTGTATTTACTAACGTGCTTTGACTGTCTGATGAATACAACACAATACCTGCATCCAAGAACACAACAAACACTCACAGTTCTGTGACTAGGGCAGGACACAAAAAAAACAACTAGGTCTCCTGTGAGCCTGCCACATGCTACATGCTTCCTACTGGTTATTTTCTTTTCTCTGCGCAGGTCCTGTGAAAGGTTCTAATCCTTTTTTTTTCTTCTCGCTTGTCTCTCATTAGTACCACTTCCTATTGCCAGTACCCAGTACAGTACCAGCAACAGACCTCGGAAATCCCTATTTTCCAAGAGGTTGGTCGCAGAGATGGTTATGGATATGAGGGACTAGCCACGGAACAGAGCAAGCTTCCTTTGCGCCTGGGCACAGAGGCTATCCTCTGCCTTGGAAAAGTTAATCGCAGGACTCACAGTCAATACTTCAGATGCCCCAATGACCCCGCCATTTCCATGTCAGAGAAGCATATTCTCTTGCAGGGTGAAATTGCTACAAAGGCCGATGGTCGTGGGTTCTCAGTTGTTCCCGAAGCTGAACATTTCCCTCCTGCCTACCTGCTCCCTACCCTTCTCCTGGCTCTTCCCCCTTCTTTTCTTCCTCTCCACCCACCACTCCTTCCTCCTTCCTTCTTGCTCTTTCTTCGCCCTATCCCCATTAGCTACCTTTGGAGTGACAGTTGCAGGGCAGGCAGCGGTCCCTGTCTTGGTGCCTGTAAAAGGCCTCCTTGCACCTCTCACAGTGCTGGCCGTCAGTGTTGTCCTTGCAGTAGAGGCACCGGAACCCATTGCCTGTCCGCCGCAGAAGCTCCTGCTCAAAGATGCACTGGTTGGACTTCCCATTGCAGTCACAGACTAAGGAGACAGGAAGAGAAGACACCGTCAGAAAAAAGTGACCAGGAACATCCTCCCAGGTGATTTAATTATTGTGAATACGAATACAAGCTGTGTATAGGGTGCCGAATGTTAAAATGCTCAATGGATGACTGAAAGGGAACAAAGCAGGGCACTGGGGACCGCAAGGAATCTCGTTCCGTCTAGAGAAACAGCTATTCCAGAGCCGGTAGATTGTTGCGGAAGAACGTGAGTCCAGCGTTGCCAGCTGTCCGATTCCTTAACAGAAACCAAGTATTTTAAATGGTTTGTTTTGGTGTGAAAATTTATGATATAAATATCTGAGAGGAATTCATTTGAAAACACAGTGCAAAGCAACAGAACAAGTCACTGGGCTAGGAGAAGACCTGAGGACTGCCAACCAGGAGCTCTGGCCCAACTGTCATGACCAACAGTGCCTGCTGCTGAGGACACATAGTACCCTCCCCTCCAGTGACAGTCAGGCCCGAGGAGCTGAGAAGACTGGACGGGTATCACTTCCTCAATGCATTTGTGCCTTGAATGCTCTTCCCAAAGCCTGGTGTCAAGGAGAACCGTGACCTGGTGTCAAGATCTCACAAAGAATGACCTCCCCCTAGTCTTTAGGAAAGTTCACCCTTCAAATATTCCAAAGATACTTCTAGGGTAACTAACATCTCCATGAGGTCCTGAACAGCCAGTGAGGTGACAAATGGAAATACTTCTCATAGCACCAGGCACCCAGAAGTCACTCAAAAACTTTCAGTCACAATTTCGAAGGAGAAAGATGATGGCCGTTGGTCTGAGACTGCCGTTCCCTTGGGCGAGCCACCTTGACTTTCTGAACCTTGCTCCCCTCCTCCCCCTCTCCCCTCTTCCTCCCCCTTCCTTTCCCCCTCTTCTTCCTCCTCCTTCAAACATTACAGCACACTCTCTGCTTCCCTGGGTTGTTAAGAGGATCTCACTGAGAAAAGAATACCCAGTGCCTTTGCATGTTCTACCACACTCCTCCCTCTCAGGAGACAGACGTCACTTTGGGTGGGGAAAAGGAAGCTGGAAAGGTTAACTTGACCTGCTGGAGACTTGGGGTTTGAACCGCTGTTTGATGCCAAAGCCTGCCTTCATTTCGTCACACGCACCGTCTCCAGTGACCACGCAGCCATAACAACAGCTCGTTTCTAGAGTGCCCAAGAGGACTGACGGTAAAGCCAGTAAGTGTACCCCACGTGCTGAGCAGCTGCTCCATGCAGGCCTGTACCACACTCTGAAGAAACAAAGGTGAGGAAGGAAATTTTGTAAACTTCCTAAGTGCTACTTTAGAGCAATTTCTGCTGCTTTGGAGACCAGCAACTCCAAGGGAAGCCCACTCAGATTCTGGGACTTTACAAGCATCAGCTCAGTTAATTCTCACAACATTTCAGCCTCAGTGTATTTATCCTCACTTAGTGGATGGAAAATGAACACTTAGAGAGGGTAGGAATCTTGTCTAACTTCACATAACTGATTGGCAAAGATATAATTTTCTCTGAGGTCTGTCTGACTCCAAAGCCTTCATCTTTCCATTTACCCTACCTTTCAAGAACCTGGGATAGCAGTGAATGTAGTTATTCCTTCTATAATATCTTGTGGGAGGGCCAGGGATGGAACTCTGGTCCTTGTGCTTGTGGGGCAGGTGGCGGCACCACTGAGGTAAATCCCTGGCCCCCCTTTCTATAAATCTTTAGTGGAGGCTCCTTTGGCCTTTTCTCGAATCCTTCCTACTGTAGCAGAATGTGCTGTTCTGCCTCAGAAAACGGGGTGTTGCAGATCATTTTTATGGAGTTTAAAATCTACCTCTAGCCCTGTTATTTAAACATATGCACGTGTATTCATGCACTCACACACACACTACACACACTTCTATCTTCATTCATTTATTTATCCAACAGATGTAAACTTCAGCTGTCTTACCAGCACCCCCATCAATAAATCTTCTGAACATCTGAAGACAACCAAGAATATACCTTCTTAGTTTTCTCTTCTTTGGGTTAAACTGGAGACCTGACACCTCCAGGTCTTTCAACCATTTCTTTTTTCATGATTTTCAGTCTTTTTGAATACCTTCTTAGCAACACTCTAATTTTCAATACTCTTGTTAGCACAGTACTTCGAGCATAGTTTGAACAGCTCTGTGTATAACGGGAGTAGATATTTTTACTCCATGGATGGAGACTAACATTTATTAAACTTACAGCCTATTAAACTTGCACTCGATTCAAACTAGCAGGGCTTTTTCACAGAACTGCTGCCAAGCTGAATCTTTCCCAACTAGGGCTTGTGGAACTGACTTTTTTTTTTTTTTGGCTCTTCAAAAGATGTAGCACACAGCTGCCGTGAGCTATGAAATGTCTGCTGAGCATGAGATTAGGCCCATTTCAAGGTCTAACCGCACCAGCCAGAGGTCTTTGTGAGGTTCTTCGGCTGATCCCCCAGTGAGCCAGTGCTTGCTCTGCCCTGATACTGGTTAGGAGCAGTTTCAAAAATGCCTATGCACTTTCCATGTAACTTTCCAATGCAGAACATACGTTTTGTTGGCAATAGGAAACTTCATAAGGACCACTCATGGCACATTTATTCACAGCAATAATGTTTGGTTTGGTTTTGTTTGAGACAGGGTCTTGCTGTGCAGTTCAGATTGGCCTTGAACTCACGATGTAGCCCAGACTGGCCTGGAGCTCATGGCGATCCTCCTGCCTCACTCTCTTAAATGCTGAGATTACAGGCGTGCACCACGCCTGGCCTCACAGCAATTTTTTTGTTTTGTTTTGTTTTTTGTTATTTGATACAGGGTCTCGCTATGTAGTTGAGACTGACCTGGAACTCACTATGTAGCCCAGCCCGGCCTTGAACTCATAGCAATCCTCCTGCCTCAGCCTCCTGAGTGCTGGGATTATAGGCATACTCCACCATGCCCAGCTCTCACAGCAATATTATTTAAATAGACAAATTTGTTATCTTTTTATACAACCTCCCTCTTCTGTCCTCTCTCCTCAAACCTCTACTTTGAAAAGAAAAATGAATGTTTTTCCTTTAAAGTCAGTCTTCATTGGAGTTGCATTACATTCCAGTAAGGGAAATTCTTAGCCAGCAACTCCTCTCCAGAACTTGCCCAAAGTCATTACCAAACTACACCTCTCTCCAAATGGGTCTCCCTTAAAGCCAAAGGCTGTGCTGGCAGGACGAGGACGTGTGTGAGTCTATTGGCCATGGATGTCTGTGTTACTTAAAACTCCCATAAGATGCTTTCCCTCACCTCGCCTCATCACCAAGCTGTGCTGGGCTCACACGCTTACTGCACTGAGCTCCATATTGAACATGCCGAACATGCACGTGCAGAGATGAGGGAATAACTCAGCTCTGAGCCAGACATGGTGGTGCACACCTGTAGTCCCGGCACTCTGGGAGGCTGAGGCAAGAGGATCCCAAGTCACACCCAGCATGAGAATTTAGTGATATAATGAGACTATGTCTCAAAATAAAAATCAAAAACATTTTTAAAGGGCTGGAAATGTATGTAGTTCAGTGTGAAGGCTGTGGGTTCAATCCCTAGGCCATAAAATTAATCAGTTAACTAACTAACTCATCGGTTATGTACAATATATTTGAAATATAGTGTCTCTCAAATCATCTGCCAAATTTACACTAAATTCCTTAAAACCAGGTATTATTTTCAAAGGTAAAAACTTATATTTTAAATTCTAGAATATTGCTGCAATTGTCCTCAATAAAATGGGCATAGTACAGTTTATGTATGGCCTTTTTCACTGAGGGACCAATTCCTGCCCAAATGCTACTGGTTGTCAAATGGCAGCATCAAGAGAGGAATGAGAAGCCGGGCCTGCTGGCGCACGCCTGTAATTTCAGCATTCGGGAGGCTGAGGCAGGAGGATCGCTGTGAGTTCGAGACCAGCCTCGGCCAAATAGTGAGTTCCAGGTCAGTCTCAACTACAGAGTGAGACCCTGTCTCAAAATACCGAAAAAGAGAGAGAGAGAGAGAGAGAGAGAGAGAGAGAGAGAGAGAGAGAAAGAGAGAGGGAGAGGGCATGAGGCAACAAGGAGTGATGGACACTGCACCACAGGGCGGAAGGAGAGGAAGCTCCAGCCAACCACGTGCCACACAAGATTGACGTCCACTGCGTTCAATGTTTTAATTTCCATTTTGAAATAAACTATGTTCCAGGGTAAATCTCCATACTTCGCACTTCTATCAGGCAGAAAAGAAATCCCAGGCTTAAGACAATAGAAATAGTGACTTAGGATACGACAAGAACCTAGTCCGTGGTAACTGTTCAGTGGTGTATAGTTGATTGTTTTGTGGTTCTGGGCATTGAACTTAGGGCCTTCACATTGAGCTATATCCCCAGCCCACTGCCCTTCCTCCTTTCTTTCTTTTTAAAAATTTATTTATTGTTGAGACAGGGTCTTGAATTTGCAATCCTCCTGCCTCAGCCTCCTGGAGTACTAGGATTACAGGCATGCGGCACCTTGCCTAGCTTATTTAATTCTTTTAATATACGAATGGATGAAAGTTCTTCTGAACTCGAGGAAACCCATAATGTGTTTCTGCCACTTAAAGACATCACATGTCCCCACGTACTCAGACATGCCTTGCAAATGGCAAATACAAACTGTGAACAGGCACTCTCTTCCCCATTCCTCAGTGGCATGTTTTCTCCACAGGATCCCAGCTCACAAGTTAACTTTTGAGTAACTGATAATTCATTAAGATGAATAGCCCTAAACACAAACCCGTAACAGACTTTAAAATGAGGAAATTCTAAAAATGTCTCTATTATACTTAGGTTTCCTTATGTTTAGACATGTTCGCTTTCTGCCTAGAAATTTTGAGAGATTACTTTTATCAGGTAAACTTCTTGTTATTCTTCCAAACTCTGGACCAGCTGCAAATTCCATTAAATATGCTGTCTCGTTTTGTAAGGGGGCCTCGGCACAAATTTAAATGA